ATACAAGAATACAACTGACATGATCGAACAAAATTCCATTAAATTTTTAAAACAAACGAAATATAATTAGCTCATGCGGTATCCAAGGTAGCTAAAATTTTTTTAGAAAAAGAGGTCAAAAATACTTTTAATAAATTGTGTCGAAAGGATTGACCCGGACATAAATAATCATAGCAACTATGCTCAGCATTTGATAAAATAAAATTGAAAATATCTCATTATTTTTCCATTACTATTTAATGTTCTTAGAACTTTTGGTCAGACCTACGTAGACAGATAATTTTATTTTGTATTTATTTTTTTGTAAATTCTCAGGTGAATATAGATAGTTAGGAATTTAAAAATGTTTCTGTTAATTTTTTCGTACAATAAGCAATACTGTACGTTTGTTTATTATCATATTTTTCTTATTATCACTGATTAATTTGTTATTTTTTCTCCTTCACTGTATTTGACTATCCTTAAGGGCCCCCCCCCCCCTCAAAAATCGATCTCAGCCCAGGTACGTTCAAATGGGCTGAAATTTGGAGCATACGTTGGGGCTGAAGTGAGGAGGCTGTGGTAAAATTTTCAGCTCGATACCATGACGTTTGACAGAGATATGAACCAAACAAGGGTCAAAAATAGCTCATTTCAGCGCCAAAATTTCTCTGTGGACTCTCACTATATATATATATTTTTTTTTTTGTTTGAAAGCTTGTCTCTAGGGCTAGCCCCTCTCGTGGCCCTTTTCTCTAAATTCTTACTTTTTAAGCGAAGAAAAGGAGTGACAAGTTCAATGACTCAAAAAACTCCGAAAAAATGGCGCTTTTTCTATGAAGATGTGTTCTTATATAATAATAAAAAGCTTATTTTAAAAATCGGGCCACGAGAGGGGCTAGCCCTAAACACGAGCTTTCAAACAAAAAAAAATATATGACTTTATATTGAACAGTGATCGAATGGCGGTGGCGCTACGTCGTCGAACCTACCTTCTGAGAAAAATGCTAAAAAATTTTTAGAAATGGATTTTTTCATTCAAATTCAGAGCAAGCCATATTACAATGGTATATTTCATTGCACCATTTTAAAGGACGTAAAATATGAAGGTAGCTAGCGCTATCTGACGTGAGGGTTCATATAAAAATGTTCTATTCAATAATAATGCAAGTGGGGGCGCAATTTTTCTGAAACTGAAAACCATGAAATTTCCTCCAAATACATGGTAGTAGATTTAAAGTTTCCTGTGATAAGTCTTTGAAAATCCGATTATTTTCCAAAAAACTATATATATTCTGAAAGAGGAAGCTTCGCTGCATCTTCCTGTAATAAAAACTCAACTTCGATATTGTCCCGAAAAACTCGATTTTCTGAGGGGGGGGGGCCCTTAATTCGTGTTTTATTGAACTCTCAATCTAAGATATATATAATAAATCTTCATTATCAAAAAAAAATAGTCAACTATTTTCTTTATTTTTATATAATGAAAATATGATTTTATTTTTTAAAAGAAAAAAGAAAAGGATAAATAAAATCGTATTTTTATTGTAGAAAAATAAAAAAAAAATATTTAATTTTCTTCGCTGATGATGAAAACGTTTATGTCTGTATTTTTTATGTTAAAATATACAAAACTGAGGTCAAACTTGCAGTTCTCATTTTGATCGTTTTACTCGAATTTTCATTGTGTATGTCTGTATTTTGTTAATATTTCAATATTAAATAAAAATTGATGTAGTATAACGGTACTAACCAAAAAATATCCTTGCGAGTATTTTACATAGGCCAGCAGAGTACACAGAAACTAGATAGGAGTACTCACAAAACACTCAATATTACACCGCGAGTTCTCAATCGTCGTACTCAAATACTCAGATTCTAGCACGAGTACGACTGATGAGTACTCCCCTATGAATACCTTCACTAGGGCTATCATTCATGAAGTTCGTATTCATTTCGCCTATTATTCTCTTAGATGACGACTGAAAATTATTTATATGAAATGCTTCATAAATATTTTTCTTACTTGACAGTAATATTTACTTACGTTATCCGTATGAAAAACAAAAGTTTTTAATACACTTTTACTACTTACTAAAAAACTTAGTTCATTCGACTTAGCAAAAACCGGGTTCTTTCCAATTTTTATTGTACGACTATTTATAATTTACCTTATTTATTAGAATAAAGTTGTTAAAAAAAAGAGTAGAACTAAAACAGCTGACGTTAGTAAAATTTTGATAAATAATGTCTTTAGAAATTTGCATTCTTTTGAATTATAGGTGACTGTTGTTTTTCCTTAGTCGAGTGGAAATAATGTTTGTCTTTTGATGGCATCCATCGACTGTGATAGATAAAAATAGGCAATTTAAAATAGACTTATATATTTTTATTGTAAAACTTTTCCATGTTTATTTTTAATTCATATCTTGAAGATCATCAAAAGAATGAATATTTTCATTTTGTATCATGGTATTATGATGACTAACAACTATACTTTTGATCTTAAATCTATTCATAATTAAATGATAATGTGTCCTTCACTTTGGTTATTTTCTGTATTTAGTAATATAAAATCTGTTTTACCTCGACATCGCAGAAAATTTTTTCATGCATAAAATTTTATTCTATATAAAACTATGTAAGAAGAAAAAAAAACAAGTCATCATTAGGTAATTCAATAATGAAATTCATAGTCAATAAAAATAAAACATCAAAGTCAATCTTTGTATCATACAAATAGATCAATACACTCAATCATAAAGCTTAGGATTCGTAGCAAAATGTTATCATCAATTAAATTGAATAATTCTTCGATAGATATTGAACTTATACATAAGTTAAACTTAATCAAAATCGATATCTCGAAATCAATCTTGTCACTTAATTACTAGACTTAAATCTAAACATATTGTCAAGATGTTTTCTTGATGGAAAACTAATAGCATCATCACCTGAAACAACAATTTCAGTTGTTGTTATTACTTGATTAAAATATCCAACAAGAATTGAGTAAATTTGAGAAGAAATGCCTTTACAAATGATTATTACCTGTCACACTTGTGTGAAAAATATATTTTATATCGAAACTTTTTGCTACTTCAGTAGCATTTCGATGATTCTGCAATTTATTTATCAGCATCGTCTTCTAGAAAGAATTGTATCTATAGAATTAATTTCAAGTTTAAATAAATTTCGCAAAAACAATTGAGCCAAATTTATCAGTGAAAACAAATTTTTGTCATATATTCTACTTAAAAAAAATGCTATTCGTATTTTGCTATGAAGAACAATACTCTATTGAATGTGTGTAGAAAAATAAATTGACGTAATGACGTATTAAAACTCCTTTCCCTTCTTCGTGCAATAATTTCTCAAACAGTCAAAAACTTTAATTAGTATATTTAAATCAAAATATGTCTAGTGTTCAAGATTTTGAGATAAAAATCTTAAAAGATTGAAGTCAATAATATTTCTGAATTTCTAAAGTCCTAAAAAATTGATATCCAAAATTCTTAAAATCGTTTTGCTTTTTCTAAAAAGAATATTTTTAATTAAAAATTATGGAAATAAATAGGACAGAATAGAAGAGCCTCCGGCAAATTTTGTATGCTTGAGCATAATACAAAATCCGGAGTCTTCTAATGTAAGGGATGGATTTAATTTAATGAATGATGGCTTGAAACAAGAAAAAAAAGATGATTAAGCATTATTGATAAGCTAGAACATATTGTTAGTCAATCAGCTGATTCAACATTTGTTTAAAATCTCATTTGCAATATTTCTCTTTATCATAAATTTCCTTCGCTGAAAAAATTATTTCTTAATTTTTAACATCCTACATAAATGGTTGGTGAGTGAGTCTTCTTATGATAAAATTATAATGTACAAAATCCAATAGAACTATGAAATCATGTTTCATCATCTATGTCGAATGTTTTTTTGAACTTCTTATCAATAAATATGTTTTCTTCAGTTGAATATTCTACCACATGATATGTAGTCGAATTCAAATTCAAATTCGTATAATCATCATTTGTTAAGCCATATTCAAGACTATTTCTTGCTATATCTTCTATCATATAGCTACGAATCTTGACACAATCGAAATTGTCTTTTCAGATACAAATAATAACAAGACATGTATCTGTGATATACATTTGAGACTAAACGACACTAGTATAGAAAAGTTGGTGTGTCGTTTATTTTTGGCAAGAGAATGAATATATCGGTTTTTTTTTATAAGCTGTAATAGATTACAGTACTTTGTTGAAGTCATTTATGATATGTCAAAACAGTTTTTATCAATACATGTCCTATGAATAATACTCTATCAGCGAAAAAAAATGTCAACCCATTAGGTCATAATATGGCGAAAAAAATATTCTAATTTTTCTTTGACTAATGACTTTTTTTGGACATCGTATATACATCTCAAAAAAGTGTTCAGATAAAAATTTGTTGTTGTTCGTATTTCTTGATTTGTGTAACAATGACAAAGGATAAAATGTTTTAGTTTTCATTGCTCGATACTCTGAACATTTATTCATCTGAAACTGTTAATATGAGTAAGAGCACAAACTATGACGATTTTTGAAAAATAGTTTCATGTCTCTACTCGAAAAATCAAGACCTTCGAATACTCTGTTTGAAAGATATAATTATCACAATTTTTTGCCCTTTTTTTTGTATTTTTGACATATATTTTACATCATGTGATGTTGTTTTTTCATTCCTTTTCTTTACTCATACGGATATATGTATGTGAATATCGACATAAGACTAACGCATCAAATGACAAGTACAGTAATGAAAATAATGAAGGAAAGCAACGAAAAAAAGGTAAGTTTTTATCAACCCAGGAAATCTCAGACTGCATCAAGCAATACGATAAAAACTAAAGACAAATATAGGACTCATTATTCATTTGATAGATCTTGAAATATACCTGAATTGAATCGATCGATATAAAAAACAACAAGAAAATATACATTACTCACTGAAAAATCAGCAGTATACCAATGACTCTTGAACATTGGTAAGATATGATCGTTGTCCATCTTTTTTCTTTTTTACAAATCCAATATTAGAGAAGAAGGATGCTCACATATGATAGATTATTCATTTTTGATTTATCAATTTTGTAGGAATCAGTGTTCGTGGAAGAGACTTTCTATAATACTCATTGTACTTGTTAGTCTTCTTTTCATTTCTACTCTTGTGTTGGCCATCTTGTTTGGAGTGGAACGAAACAAATCCGAAGGTATTTATTCTTATATTAAACGAACAAGTGATATCTATATATATATATTATTTCTATTTTTCAGTTGAAGAAAATGATGTATGTTTAACTCAAATCTGTGTTGAAGCAGGTTCGTGAACAAAGATTTCTTTTAAGCATAAAGTGAAACTATTCTAGCCAACAATTTACTCAAGAGTATCGATGAGACAGTTGATCCATGTGAAAATTTTTACCAATTTACCTGCGGAACATGGCTCAAGAATACAAAAATACCTGTAGAAGGTCAGCTCTTTTCTATTTTTTATTATCCTTGACGAATATTATTTTATTTGAAGACACCAGTACAGCTGCATTTGCCATAGTGCAAACTCAATTAACTAACAATATAATTGGTTGGATACTTTATATATTAATATTTGATTACTCGTTTTTTCTTTCTCATTAAAGATATTCTCTCATCAACATCATCATCATCATCATCGACCAACATCGATCAATCTCATGCGATTATTAATGCTCGCCGTTTGTATGCTTCGTGTATTGATGAAGAAACCGTCGAAGAAGAAGATACCGATGTGCTTCTCTCATTTATAAATATACAATTGGGTGGATGGCCAATTTTGCAAGGCTCTAGATGGAACAATTCGACATTTAACATATCGAATCAATTACTTAAACTGTTCGAATATGGACATCAATTCATCTTCAGTGTTGGTACGATTGGTGATGATCAAAATTCGTCTGCTAATATAATAACAGTACGTGAGTTTCAATGTACACTTGCAACAATTATGTCTAACACTGTTTTAAGATCGCACAAGGAGATCTTGCTTTGAGTATACGCAGTATCTATGAAAGCGAGAATCCAATCACTATTGCCTATCGTCAATTCATGTATGAGATAGTTCTAGCATTGACTAATGATACATCGATGATCAATGACGATGTTAATGCTACATTTGAATTAGAAAAGCAGATTGCCAAGGTACTCTTTTTTTTCTCCTTCATGACTCACACTGAATATCGATCTGAATTTTTTTTTCTACAGTATCATTGGACAGTTGCCGAACTGGTAGCTCATATTGATGAAAATATTCGTACAACACTTGGAAACCTTTCACGTACATTGAATGTCAATGTAAGTATCTTCTATATTCTGTCATTTTTATTATCTTTGTTCAGTTTGATTTTGTGAATTATCTTCGACGTGCCTATGCTTTGGCTAATGTGAGTCTTGTGAATGAGGATATTGTGCTCGTTATGACAATAAACTTTATACGCAATGTTTCTTCGATTATTGATCATTATTCATCACGTACTTTGCAAAACTATCTAGTGTGGCGTTTGGTACTTAGTCGAATTGATCAGATGCCAAAACGATTTCAAATTATCCAACAAAACTTTTTCACAGTATTGACAGGAACCAAGTCTCAAAAAGCACGTACCACTGAATGTGCTACGTTTGTCAATACTTTGATGGGTTTTGCTGTTTCTAAACTCTATATTCAAAAGTATTTTGATGAGAATGCTCGTAATCAAGTTAGTTAAAGATGATAAATTTCTTTTGTTGATTATTTTTTTTACTTAGTCAATGGACATGATTGAAAATATTCGTAATACATTTATTGATATGATTCAACAATCATCTTGGATGGATTCTATATCGAAATCTAAAGCAATAGAGAAAGTAAGTTTAAAACAAATATTTAAACATATAATGATATTATTTAAAAGGCTCGTAACATAATCGAAGAAATTGGCTATCCTGATTATTCAGGTAATGAAAATTTAACTAAATTGGAGATAGACTATGCTGAGGTACGAATAGAAAGAATTTTCTTATTATTAATAATTTAGTTTTGGATTGTTGTTTGCTTTTTTTTTTTGTTTAGTACAATTTGAATTCGTCTCTGATGAGCAATGGTTTGATTGTATATCAACTAGAAATGAAAAAAAATATTAAAATGCTTCGCGAACCAGTCGATCCTAAGAAATGGGTTATTCCACCGACAATTATTGAAGCTACCTATACGGCACTATACAATCGAATAAGTAAGATTTATGTTCTAACTATATTTTTATTAGATTCTTCATAGCTTTTGCGGCTGGCATTCTTCAAATGCCTG